TTTGTTCATCCAAAAAATTCCCAAAGTTTGAAAGTTTTATAAGAAGTCAGGAAAAAACAATAAGGCAGCTAAAGGAAAACAATAGCACCTATTATTATCTTTTGTCATATTTATAATTTTAGTTGGAAAAAATCATGCCTCGCATCATTATTTGAGAATCAAAAATGATTTGTTTGTGTTTCTTTAACTCATAGTAAATGGGAAAATAGAAAAATATCTTTTGAATAGTGTAATAATGGTACCACAATACTAATTTTCACATGGAATTTACTGTATTAGAGCCATCTGTTTTATAGTAAAATTCTGAGGGTCTGGATGATTCTCTGAAATTTTTGGATTAGGAAGTATATTAAAAATATTGGAAATATACATATATATACACACACATCTATCTATCTATCTATCTATCTATCTATATATATATATATATATATAAAACTTTAGTTGTAGAAATTCTAATGTTATAGTCATCTCAACTTAAAATTTAATGCATTCTGAGACAAATTTCAGCATCAAGAATTCTTTAATTTGTTCTTAGAAACTATAGGTCTAACTTTATTAAAAGTGATTAGTTTTAAGTGCAGTCTTGTGAATTCTACTATTCTTAGAAATGTAGTTTTAAACATGTAGATAGGAATGACCAATTATTTTATTCTCATACTTACTGAGTTATAGATGCCTAATTGTTAGCTGTTAGTAGCTGAGTTCTTATTAGATGTGATGTAAATTACTTATAAGAAAATGTAGATGCACTCTTGATCTGAAGGTACCCCGGTCCTCATGATTGCTTATCAGGCACCAAAAAACAAAAACAAACAAACAAACAAACAAAAAAACATTCTTAAACTGGCAGTTTTGAGGATTTTTAATGATTTTAGGCTGATTGATTATTTATTGCTGATTTAACAAAAATCAAACTGAAATTATTTCTACCAAAAACATTAACAATTTTTGTATATTTTTAAAAAAGTAAATGTAAAAATTATATTTGGGCTTGGATCATACCATTCTTTTATTCAAGAAAATTCCCTTGCTTTAGAAAGTTATTTAGGGGAGAAACAGAAGATATTCTTTTAAGTTTGAAGGTCATTTTGTATCTGGTCTGTGTGTGGATGAATTCTGTGGATTACCATGCTTTATAGCAGTCCCAAAAGGAAAGGGGGTTGGGGGGCTGCAGGTTTCTCCACAGCCTCCTGGGAGCAAGGCTGCTGTTTCTTGATGTTTGCACCTGCATGAGCAGTGAAGGCTGTCTTAAACAATGCCTATCAACTCTATTCTATTCTTTACCTCCCTCCCCCCTTCTCTTCTAGGGAAATCTGGCTTTCCTGTCACTCAGGATAACTATCCCCTGCAAGCATCACTGAGATCCAGAAAGTCACTGTAATCTCATCAAGAGTGTGATTCCCCAGCTGGGACTTTGAATTTATATAACCTGAAGGTAGCTGGTCAGGCCACTTAATCTCCCATGTTGTTGTGCTGAGCCCCCAAACCATTTAAAATAGTCCTCTTACAAAGATGACCTCATTAGTTGACAGAATTAGTGAAGATGTGCCCCAAAATTTGTAGAGTAACTTATAATTGAACCCAATATTTCACCTATGAATACAGTGTTGCTTTACTCTGCTTGACTAAAAGAACTCAGTCCAGACCTCAAGTAAATTTCTAGTGAGCATAATGAAAATTGGGTAGAAGGTAATACATTGGTTTTGTGTAGCTTCTCAGATTCTAAAGAGTTTTGCTATTTTTATAACCTTGAAATGAAACTGTTAGGGAAACTGTTTTATAAATTTCTGGTGAATACCCTGATAATTTGTTCCAATTAATGCACTGGTGATTTTCCTAATTTTTCTCACATATTTTATTTTAGGTGATTTCCCAATTAATCACTTTAGGTTTTATGACCTTAAAGATCTCAACATAAAGGAAAAATAATTCTTCAAGTGTGCATCACTACTTACCTTCTCACTTCTGCAATGAATTGTCACTATATCATAGTCCACAGTAATATCACAAAAGAGCACCACTGAGATACTATTTTATGACACATTATTTTTGCATGAAAACCTATGCTCTGCTTTCCTCATACTTGCATTGTTTAATTTTTGGTAATACCAAGCATTGAGAAACGGTTATCTTTTCCTTTACAACAATGACCTTTGACACTGGGTGGAATTTTATAAGCTTGCTTTTTAAAAATATTGCAAATAAAATTGAGTATTAGAAAGGGGCACAGTAAGAACAAAAAAATCATAAAGGAGATTTTTAAAGTATCCTAGATTTTTAAAATCTAGTGTATCTAAACATAAGGACTTCAACTCATTTAAAAAATCTACTTCATATATTTTTTCTGTTTGTCTTCATAAACATATATGTTTATCAAGATACAAGATTACATAAGTATATATTTATAATCTTGTTTCCAGTTGGCATCTGAGAGTAAGTTGGCATCACTGCTATACATATACACATAAATGTGAATATATATGAATATATATGCACATGTTTATTTTTCATATGTGAAACCATAGATCTATAATTGCATGGATATACTTGGATCTGATTTATCTTGTTAAAAATGACTACATTTATATAAGTGTGCATACTTATACAAAATTTATTCTTAGTTGGCATCAGCCAGCAAGTTAGCATCTGGTATAAACTTTGAAGTTTTCATTTACTACATATGTGTGTGTGTGTGTGTGTGTGTGTGTATAAAATACGAATATTAGAGTGGGTATGTTATGTTTCTTATTACTTTGTGTAACTCTTTAGTAATGATTAAATAAATATAATCACAATATATAATTGTGACTTTTCAACTCAAAGGTTAATTTGGAAAAGTAGTAAAGAAATTTTTCTCACCAACTATATTCAGTGATGAGAATCCAGGTGTACACAGTGAAGTGGAGGGGCGAAAATCAATTAAATGATCAGGATAAAGAATAAAATATTAATAAAATCTACCTTACTTTCACAAGAATAGTAGACATTTCTGTGCTTTGAAAAGACACTTCACAAGTTGAAGTTTTCATATATTTGCAAACTTAAACTTGAGCTCAATAAATTGCATATCATTAATTTATTCTTTTTTAAAAATGTTTTTAGTTATAAATGAACACAATACTCTTATTTTAATTATATATTTTATGTGGTGCTGAGGATCGAAACCAGTACCTCACATGTGCTAGACAAGCACTCTGTCACTGAGTCACAATCTCAGTCCCTTATTAATTTATTCTTAATACATTCATTTTGAAATTTGTTTTGGTCATGAGGACAATTTTTTTAATTGTTTTTTGTGCATATAGTGAAAAGCAGATTTACTTTCCAAAATGCTTATTTAATTTGTTTAAATTTCTAATTACATCTTAATTAATATACTTTAGTTTTAGATGACATTATTACAATAGGCAAATGTTAACCAAGCAACTCATATGAGACAGTAAATAAAAGCTAACCCAAATTATCAAAGCATTTGTAGTAGAATTTTTCATGTAGTTTCTGAAATACAAGATCAAGTGCTATTAACATTAAGATGTCTATGGCAAGGTGTGTGTATGTGTGTATGTGTGTATTGTCATGATTTTATATATATTCTCTCAATATTGTATATATTCTCTCAATATTTGGCAACATTTAATATATCAATTTATATTCTTCTTTTTAACAGCCATCTTATAATTTTCACAGACTTGTCAGACTGGTCTGAGGAATAAACCAATTGTTTCATTTGCCTCTATAGGAAAATATACCCATGGCTTGTTCCTTATATACCTTCATTACTAATGTGATTATTTTATGTATATCATTAGAATGCATGCAAATAGAATAGGTTAAGGCATTTTAAAGATGAATTATGGAAATATTAATATACAGAAGAAAACTAGGTTCAACTACCAATTTATTTAACAAAAAAACACAACTCATATTACAGATAATCTTTTGTTGGAAGGATTATTTATACTTTCAGTGCAAGATTGTTATTCTTTTGCACAATCTTTTCTAGTTTTTTCCTTTTTTTTATGGTACAAAAGTGTAGTCAAGCTCCAGTGAGTATCATTAGTCAGTATCAGTTTGCTTCATATACATCAATTTGTTGAAAGTATAGACTCACTCACTTCAGTGATATGTCAGTATAATTATCATTAGATTATTTACAGATATATTTTTAGCATTTAGTAATTGATAATGATACAGGTAATACTGTTGTGATAATTTTTGTTATCCAGCTGTAAAAGAAATTATCCAGAATAAAGAGTTACTTCACTGAATTCTGACATTAGCCTTATATAGATTGCATACATATGTATATATTGTGATTTTGTACATAAAAAAACAGTGATTTAAATTTAAATTTAAATTTTTGGTCACATCTTAACTAGTATGGTTAAAGGTAGAGTAATTCAATTATAGTCATTTTATGTGCTTTTAATGTGTATTTGTCACACATTAAAGACCACATGCACGGCTGATTATCTTTTGAAATAGAAAAATAATTAAATGAAGAACCATCAAGAAAAATGATTAATGTCAAAGGTTAACTAACAAAAATGAATCCTTTCCTATTCCATGATGGGTTTGTGCCATCTGCATGTATGTTATCCTGACAGTAAGATGATCCACTCAAAATTATACAGGCATCCTGCAAGGTAGATGAAGGTTTTAAGTATATATGTTGGCCAGTCTTTCTATTTTTGGTTAATAGCTCGAACTTTTCCTTTATTTTAATTGCTATACCTATTCCAGGCCTTATTTCCTATATTTCTAAAGACCAACATGTTTTAATCATTATTTCAGTTAATTAGCATTAAGCTTAATATTCTGATTTTCCTAATGTGCTAAGATTGAACATTTCTTTTTTATTAGATGTTGAAATATACAAGTCATTATGTTGTGTATATTGCTGACTAAAAATATTGCTGGAGTGTAAAGGAGAAAAATCTAATTTTATATTGGCATAGAAAGAAAGCTTAACTTGTTTTCTTGCTCTTTTTTTATAGAGAACACCTGTTCCCAGCGCTGAAGCATTCCGATGGTTCTTTTAAAGCAGTAGTATATCTTATTTTCAAGGCATTTGGAAATGAAGGGCAAACTAATGTCTTGTTTTAAGAAACTGCTTAGTCCATCATTGAAGAAAATATCCAGAAATTATTTTCATTTTATGTATAGGGGTTTCTTCAAAAAAATAAAAAAGAGGAAAAGAAAAAGAAAAAAAGACATAAAAATAATGTGGGAGCTTGGGGAATTGGCCAGTCTATTTCCTTTCAATACACTGATTCTTTCTTTGATGTAATTTAGATATACTAGTGAAGTTGTTGTCTATTTTGAAAGTGGCTGTAAAAAATAAGTTTGGGTAAACCCCTGCTGTAAAATCATGTATCTTTGCAAAGTACATATCTATACTTCATTTTCAAATATATGTGTTTCAGTACTGTAAACTGTACAGATAGCAGCTTGTATTTTGTGTGTTTAGACACAAGGAGACAATCATGTCTGAGCATCTATGGAGATTAACAGTTTGTACACAACAGTATGGTTCTGCAAGTTAAATCTGGAGCAATAAATTTTAGCTTTAAATATATTTTGCCAGTTGTTTCTAGAAGCAGCAACATCACTGGCACTGTTTTGCCATGCATCTTTCCGTAGAGACTCGATGCCAAGTTTTACAAGACTAAGAGAACGATGCATCCAGCAATGACCTTCAGTTGTATTGTTGTAAGAGGGGAAGATGTTATGAAAGTTTCAATTAATCTTTTGAGCACTATATTAGAGTAGTGGTTATGCACTTGCATTGCTTACAAACGAGCTGTACAGAAGGGTATACCTCCCAAATACTTAGTGTAGTTGACTTGTCTTGGGTTGCACTGTAAAGCGGAGTACTCAGAGTAGTTGGAAAAATGCAGAATCAGTTGTATAATTTTTTTTTATTAAAAAAAAAAGAACACCCAGTGTTTTCTAGGCTAAAGTATAAAGTGTCAGATCTTAGGTGGAGAAATCCATGACTGATTTTTTTTTTTTTTTTAACCAGCCAAACATGGGCTGTGTATGTTTTTGTCCTTGTTTATTTTTTGCTCTTTAAAAAAAAATTCTAGGAAAAATAAAAAACTTAATAAAGAATACCCACATGTTTTAAGTCCATGTGTGATATCAAATGGGGAGTTTTGTCTTAACAGTCGAATACATTGAGGCCAGCCTTGAGGCATAGCTGGATTTAAGTTAGAAAGAGACACATTTATGAAATGAGGCATTTTGTCTCTATCTTCCTGTCTCATAGTCTCCCAGTTGGACCAATGGTCTTTCCCTGGTCACACAGTGGAATGCTTCATTGCTACCATTCCCATTCCTGTTACTGGATCCTTTCATTCCTGAGACGGCAGGGTCCGGGGAATTTCATAAATGCAAGCCAGCTCCTACAACCCCCCTCAAAAAAATTGAATGCTTCATAATATCTGGGCTACCTTTGAATGTAAGATTTGGTTTTCTTGTGACAGACTTATTATGGCTGTCTCATTAGGACAAACATTATTTGCATTTTATTTTTTGGCTAGACAATAAAAGTTATTTTCATTTTCAGGAATAAAACTTAGTTTAGTAAAAATATATAGAATATGTAATTGCCATGTTATTGCAACTTCTTTGTTCTTCACACACTAGCTGGTTATTTTAGCCCACTATATCCATGAGCCTGTTGAAACATGTTAGAAAATGAATCAGAAGAAGAAAAATAACTTGAGAGAGTAATGGAGAAGTAAGGAGTTTAACTTGTAAAGTTTTGGAAGGACTAGCAGGTGAATATTTTTAAAAATCTAGTTGTAGTTTTGAATGGGAAAAGATAACACAGAGAAGATGTTTTTAAAAAAGCAGAAGGAGCACTTCACTATTAGAACACTTTGAGGAAGAGTGGCTAAGGCACATACAAATGCCAATGTAAAAAACAAATGTGACTTAACTTGCCTAGAGTACCAATACATGGTCTGCAGTTGTGGCCACAATGCCTTTTTGAGGACAATTCATTATGTATTACACCCATTTATGTTTAGAGAAGAGAATTAAATAATCACAAGCTAAAATGTGCTGTATATTAATTTCACGATAACTTTCTACTTAATGTATATTCCTTTGATGGTTTCTAGTTAGAATTTATATTTCTGCTATAGGACCAATGGGAGCTATATGAGTTCTTTCTTGTTCCATTTTTATGTTATTTTCTTTTACAGTATTTTTGTTTACCAGTTTGCTAATTAACTACAAGTAAGTGAGAACTTACTTTCACACTTGAAGGGAAACTTGCCTTGTTTTTTGTAAAATGACTATTATAAAAGTGAAACAAACTTCTATTCAGGTTTTATTAGGCATACAATAACATAAAGATCTCATAGCAATGTAATAACAGTCTAAAATACATTCTGTATTGCATGTCCTGATGTGTTTTTATTTGTCTGCTTTTTTAAAGAACTAATGAATCTGTATATTGTAAGGTGTGGTGTTTTACATGTCAGTTCACTTTTTTAATGAAAGAAAATCTGTTGATTACTGAAATGGAACAGTGTAGCTTTTCTTTAATTTCTTTATATTTTTATTCTTGATATTGTTCTTTCAATCACCCACTTTCTGTTTTTTTGTAATCTCTATTTATATAATGTAGGATGCATATAAAGTTCTCATTGGTGATGTTGAAGAAAAGATATTACTCTCTGGACTCCCTCTAGCATTCCTCTCCCTATGTCCACATACCAAGAACTTGTAGAACATATCATTATAATCTTAAGGCAGTAACTTGAAGGTTTACACTTTTCATTATCCTAAAATACCAATGAAATGTAACTTTTAAAATTTTCTCACTCTGTGTTTCATATTCAGTATCAAGAAAATTCAGAACATTGCAATCAGAATATAGATTGTGTAGATTATAAAACTTTAAAAGAACATATCAGATAAAGCTAAAAACACTTTGTAAGAGAGGTACACAGACACAGGGTCTTGTCTTCTTGAGGAGATGCCATATCCTGGCAGCATCCTGGGGGAGCTTGGGAAATACTTGGGCACATGGTGTAGTGAGCAGATGTCCTTTTCAACTGTCACTGGGTAACCAAATATCAGAGAATGTCATAATGTGAACCTCTCTTATCCCAGAACTTCAGACCAAAGTGACTTTCTAAGTGACTCTGCTTGTCTGGTGGCATATTCAGAAAGTAGTAATATAGCCATCCTTGGGAGACAAAATAGTAGTAGTCTTTACCCCAGTGTAAGCATATATAAAAATATCTCCTGGTTGCCTAATCTCTAACACTCAACTTTCTTCTTCTAAACACGTTCATAGGGAGTAAGAGATGATGGGCTTATTATGAATTAAATAATCACTAAAAGAAAAGAATATTCCCTTCTTTTCTTTCAGAACCCCGGCATGCAAGTTGTGCAATTAATGCTAAAGCATATAAAGTCTTTAAGCTGGTAGTATCTGTAATCAAATAATGAAAAAAGGAAAGCAGTTAAATGAACTCACTATTCAGGGTCAAATATGTTCAGCAAAAAGCTGTAGTGGGTCTTTGATCATGGTTAGATTCATAGTGATATCAAACAGTTGGTTCTCATGTAACAGCTAAATGTTTCAGATTTTGTTTTTATTAAATTTGGCATTTCACACTGAGATCTGTATTCCTAGTGAATAAAAGACAGCTACTGTGTTAGGAGGGATTCCATTTTCACAATTGCAAAATAGATATTTCAGGAACATGGGCCACAAAATGTACTCCTTTCACAGTGTTCTCCTATTCTGAACTGTGCAGTTATCTATTAAATTTTCTAATAGATATTTGTGTAAGGTGTATGTATGCTTGTGCAATTATTTAAAAAAGCAGTTTTGGAAAACAGTGTATTTATTAAAGAAAATCACTTATGGGGCATGTACAAAACTGTAAAAAAAAAAAAAAAAAAAGACTTAAAAAAATCACTTCAATTTGCCCAGTAAAGTTGTTTTTGTGAAATTTCTGTGTTGTTGAATAAAGGACTTTAGTATTCAAAATATCTCTATTTTCCATGAACAAATTTTTATTTGTGGGATTTTAAGCAACGAACATACGATCTTGAAGATCTAGTTTTTGTTTATGACAAAAAAGTTCATAATTCTACACGTGCTCTTATGTCAGTGAAATGAATGCTGTGTATAAATCTTTTATAAGGTATGCCAGTGATGTTCATTTTTTTGCTTTTTTAATATATTCTTTCCTTTTTGAGTGAAGAAAGGAAAAAAAAGACATGATCTTTGTACATTTCTCAAAAAGATGTTTTTGTTGAAAATTTTATAATATCTATAGACCCCAATTTTTCCTCCTTCCTTCTCCATCATAAGTGTGCCAGGAGAAAGCATCCCAGGCATTCTTTGTGTCATAAATGAAAAGTCCTGGCAATAGTACTTGAAAACATGAATGTGTGTGAAGTAGCAGGCTACCTGGAATTCTGTTGTCAGTCACTCCCAGAAATACTCTGAGGTGAAATTTTTATTTTTTATTATTATGGAATATTGTGGTTCATCTATGCTGCTTATTAGTTGGTAGTGAATGTTCTTAACCCTCATTTCACTGCTTCTCAACAAAGTTCTAATTTTTTGATGCCTTATGAAATGTAAGAAAATGTAGAACATGGTTTTAAAACTTGAAAATCCTTAATATGATTACAAACATGGGAATTCATACAATTGAAAGAGTTCATATCCACAGAATATACTAGAAGACTTTTATAAATGTATTAAACATTAACATGTGTTCCTCCACTGCAAATATAAAATATCTGGGTGAGGGCAAACAAATTGGATGACACAGGGTCAGAAAGAAGAATTTAATAATTTCAGTTAATGAGAACTCCAAAATACTCAGCAATTTCTCAGGTAAGTTGCTATGCTTCTTTATTATATTTTGATAATATTGCAACAAAAATATGCTAAAAATATGTAACTAGATTGTTACCAACAGTTCTTTCTTTACTTGAAATTGCCAAGAATGCAAAGACCTGGAGGTTTATATGTAATATAAAAAGAATTCTTTAAGAGAGCCTAAATAAACCAAAAATTTAGAGGGAAAGGGGATAAATTAGTGGAATATCTGTAACTTACTTAGACATTGAGTTCAAATACTAGTTTCATAGTTTTTGCACTTATAGCCTATGCTTCCCAAGTATTTTCATTGGTAAAGGTTCTTATTTCTGTGCTTTATGCAGAAACTACTTTCTTTCCCCTCAACTCTTTGTTTCATGTCGATTTTATGAAAAAAATGTTAATTTAAGAAAACAAACTTAATATTTTATTTGCATATACTACATAAATAACATGAAAGTCTTGCTGATTTGAAAGTTTTGCTTCTGATCTTTTATTCTAATATCTTGACTTGAGAGCCATTGTTGTGTTATTTAAAATTCAGATATTTTAGTCTGTTTTAAAATCAGTGTTTCTTAATTTATATATATATGTGTGTGTGTACATATATATATACAAATATACACATACATATATATATACATATACATAAACACACACATATATACACACACATAAATTATCTGCCAAATTATCTTTTAGTCAAGTCTTTGCCTTGTTTACAAGTATATTATGGCAAACGTAATTCTCATTTACAGATGTTAAAAATTTCACAAATTGGAAGCAGTGTACATACTTCCTTCTAAAACATTACCTTTAAAATTACTCTTTTATATCTAAGTGTAAAGAATATACAAGAAAATTAAATGACTTCTTTAATAGTTAGATTGTAGGAGAAATCTGGTTGCCTGGTTTGAATTATGATCTTCTGTTTACAGTTTTTCTGAAAAGTGATCTTCTATTTAAAATTCTATGGCTTTGGGAAAACTGCACAGTTGGAAGGGAGGCTGGAAAGTAAAACATTTAAATTTTACTAGTTAACCTTTGATACTATAATTTTATAACATTAATATTGAATTAATGTATGTATTTATTTTTATATGCATGTATGTGTGTATAGATAGATCAGTATATGTATGCATACATGTTTTTTGGTACAATAGTTTAGGTTGTGCCCCAGAAAGTGTAGGCTATTACAAATCTATTGGAAAGGATTCTCTTAAATATTATACAGTTGTAATTGAATTTGATGATTCAACAACTTATAATAGTTAACCTATTCTTTGAGAATCAGTAAAATTTTGGAATCTACATGGGCTCTTTGGGGGCTTTTTAAGTGTTCTTTAATGAGTTCCCACTTCAATTCACTATGTCCTACTTTCAGTCACTTAAGAAAATATGTTGCAAATTATGTATTCAATTTGTTACCCAAATGCATTATTTATCTTCATACAGTTTGAACATTTCATGTATATTTATATTCTATTGGGCTATTTATATATTTGAAATTTAAATACACAGCCAGTAATAGATGACTTGTTCTGTAGCTTATACGCTTGGTCTATACAGAAAAAGATTTCATGTCAAAAGAATACCTAGTGTATGCCAAGCAGCAATGGAAAGACATTGTCAATATTTCTGCATTGGCAGAAACAATTGATTTAATTTCTCATTTATTCAACAAGTGTTCTTGTGTATCTTCAAGGTGCCAGCTACTAGGGATATCAAAATGAGAAAACATGGCTCCTGACATTCATCATCACCTTGGAACTTAATCAAGTGGCTGAAATAAATATTCAAATAGATAAGAAACCATAGATAAAGTTTGGTGTGAAAGTACCTGTCATCATGCGGCAGAGTGGCTGAAGATGGTAGGGTGAAACACTTTCATTTCAAATTCTTCCCAGCTGAGGGAAGAGGACAAGACTTGATTACTCCTAGGATATAAAACCTGAGATTAAAGTAGTGAAAGCAGACAGATTGGGGTGACAGGAAAGAAAGGAGGATGGGTTCCAACAGCTGAGATAGACTACCACTCTAGCCCAACTAAAACCACCTTGTGGAGATGGTTTTAGTAGACACCACAATATTCTCCTTCATTCATGACTGCCTTCAATACAGTTTATATGCTACAACATGAATAGTCCTAAAACACACACACACACACACACACACAGAGTTTGTGTGATTTCATGCTTATGATCAATCACTTCTAATGGCTCTTGGTAAGAACTTCAAAGTGTGATACGCAAGGTCCCTTTGCAGATGGATCCTGCAATCTCATGACAGATCAAGTCAACCTTTTATTCTAAGCTCTAGCCACTTAGACTTTCTTTCACTTCTTACACACCTCAGGTGGGTTTTTCTGCTTCAACTCAGGATATTACATTCATTTGTTCTTACTACCCCGTTTCTTCTCTATTCTCCTGCAAAATGCATCTTTATTCTTCAGAACATAAAGATGCAATTTTCTGAAGGACGTCCTCCCTAACTTCCATGACTGTGTCACATTTATGTATTATAGGTTCTCAAGGACCTGTAACTTTTCATTGCACTTAGTGATAAATTAGTTCATTCAATAAATATTTCCTATGTAGTCTCCACTCATCTAAGCAACTACAATATATCCCTGCCCTCACAGAGCGTGCACTCTAGCGAAAGGAAAGAGGTGATTAACAAAGAAGTAAACATAAATAAATTTGCTACATTTATACATGATATATATGATTATATTGTATATGCTATGAATAAACTTTAGGAGGAGAACTGAGATTTGAAATCTCTGTGAGATAAGAAAATGAGAAAGAGTACTGACATTTTAAATGAGTAGTTAGGGGAAACCTAACTGTTGATGGAGCTAACATTCCAAGGAGTTTAGGAAATAAGCCAAGTGGTGTCTTGGAAATAGCCCTCCTGGCAAATAAAACAGGAAGTAAATAACCTTGGGACAAAAATAAGCTTGATGTCTTTGAAGACCAGCAAGACACCCATTGTGTCTAGAGTACAGTAAGAGAATCATAAAAACATGGTCAGACAAGAGAAAGAAGATTGCATAGTGTGTTAAGGACTTGGACATTTAATCAGTGTGAAAAAGGGAATCCTTAGAGGGTTTGATTGGAAGAAGACATGATCCAGTGTATATCATAAAACAACTGCTTTGGATACTGTGTTAAGAATAGACTAGAGAAGATCAAGGATGAAGAAAGGCAGACCAGTTTGGGGAGGCCATTGTTGTAGTCTAAGTGGAGCCAGACTGGTAGTAAAAGTTGCCAATATAGGTTGAATTCAACATATACTGTAAAATAAAGGCAGTGTTTTTGTAGACATCTGGGGAGAAGAATTAGTAATTATTCCAGAGTTTTCAAGGTAAATAATTAGAAAAATGAAGTTGTCATTTACAGAGATGTGGAGAACTGAATTTAACTTTTGGAAATAGTAACCTTAAGCTGCTTCTCTAACATCCTAGTGAAAATGTGGCATTTTTACAATTGGATGTATATGATTACAGATTTATGGGCAGGAATACAGAAGCAGATTTATTGCTGGGATACATGCTATTTAAAAGTAATGAGTCTGGATGAGATCATTAAAGGAGCATGTGTGGATAGATACGGGAGAGGAGATTCCAATACTGAGATCTGTGACTTGCCCATAAGAATTATACATTTACCTTCATTGTAACCATTTTTTAATTGGTACTCATTTCTCACACTGACCAAGATAGAGAATAAATAGAAACCTAAGGAAGATTTGTGTAAGTGAACTCTTCCAGTTCCCTCTCTTCCCTTATATTTTGGCTTGTCGGTTACCCCAATCCTTATTCTCCATTCACAGGTGGTAGCTATTCCTCCCCATCAACTTATCCCTTTTCCACTGCATACATGAGTTCACAATATTAGTCATTTTTATTCTCACACAACATTCTAATGCAATAATTGTATATGACAATATTTCCCCTTGACACACATAAAAATATGTTGAATTAATAGTTTAATGATGATCATAACTAGTGTATTAAAAAAAACAACTAAGCACAATCCTGTTGAACTCAGTTTAACAATTTGTCTGTTCTTTGTTGGCAATTCCTTAAGGGAGATATGATCATTATTGTTTATTTGACATCTCTGGGGACAAGGCTGCTCAGAGATAACTGG